TATCTACTCCCTATCAAGATTTGTAATTAAAAAAAACAAATTAAAATATGACACATTTAATATTGGCAATATAAAAAAGTTGAATTTATGTTACGACATAGAAATTTAATAAAGACCCAGAGAAACATCCTATTCAATTAATTTGATGGAGTCTACATTTTCTTGTATGCACGTGGGCACACAATAGAGACCCCTGGATTAAATACCCCACATATATAATGCATGTATACATTTTTAATTTAATTTCATGTGGTTTTTAATTAGTTTATATATTTAAATGGGCCTCTTTGATAGCTTTTCCATCATTGAAATTTCTTCTTGCATTATTGTGATTGATTTTTAATACATGTAAGTATTTGTCGTTGTCTAATGCATATCTTGTAAGATGTGCATTTGGGTGTCCTTACAGAAGAAATCCTGAACGAATCGAGTCGAGTCGAATTGAGTCGGTGGCGAATATATGTTTTATTGAATACATTATTTGAAATTTTTTGAGCATATAATAATTTTCATTTGAAACTATATATGGCTTTTTAGAGGATGTTCTTGATGGTGAGTGTGAAAAGGTTGACTTTGCTACCTCACATGCAATTTAGCTAGTTGGACCCTTTTTCTATTTATCTTCAATGTTTGTTTCTTTTTTTGATGTATCAATATTGTAATTAGGAAGTAACTCCACTTTTATTCTAAACCGAAATCGAAAACCGAAACCCAGAATCCAAATATCCGAAACCGCGAAACTGAAACCTAAGACCCCAAAACCCAAACCCAAAAACCTGAAACCGGAAATTAGAACACCGTATGGGAGAAATATTTTAGAGGAATATATTGAAAATAAAATAATAAATAAATAAAAACCCCTAATAAACCTATGACTTTTCCAAGCACCAAGCAATTTAAGGATATAATTAGAGAGATTCCATTGGGCCTAATTGGAAATTATTGATTTGCCGGTGATTCGAATCAAGATAATGCTACCACCTAAAGATAACAAAAGGACATATATCATAGGGATTTATGACCTCTTGTGACACAAATTGCAAAATATTTCAAACTTGTGAATTGTGATTTGTGTTTTTTTAGAACAACTTGTGATTCACAATTGTGAATGCTCTTCCTTTGTGGGGTACTATAGTAACTTCCACCTTTCTTTCAAATGGTGGTGAAGTCAGTATGGGGCCAGAGGGGCCATGGCCCCCAACATTTCTCAAATCTCTATTAATTATATTAAAAAAAAATTGTGCACAAATATCACTGATGGCCCCACTAAGATTTTTTTTTAATACATTCGGCCCCTCAAACTTAAAATCCTGGCTCCACTAAAGCTTCCATATACGAAGTTTATACAAATACATACGGGTGCGCGTGTAATGTGTATAATAAGGAGCGTGGGGGAGAATTGACTGGAAGAGTGGGAAAAGTGAAAACTATCTTATATCAACATTAGACAGTGATAGACATCCATTTAAGGGAAATGGTTCCTTGAATCTTATTACATTAGAAAAAAAAATAAAAAAAAAAAAAGTATTTCGATTTATTAATTTATATTAATTTATTTATTTTTCCCTGAAAGAGATTGTGTGAGCAAAAGTGTTGAAAAAAGTGAGCAGATAATTTAATCAGAAAACTCTAAATAATTTTTTCATACATGCATGTTACTAATAGTCACTGTCTTGAAAATCATTTCCCAGGTTGCAGCAGAAATTAAGGTCTTCGCTAACGGTAAAAAATGTAAAAATAAAAAATAAAAAAATAAAAAATAATAATTGATTGTACATAAAATTATTATTCTACAAGCCTGAAATTAAATTTCACACAAAAGAAAAAAAACAATATTGAAACAAAGACTTATTCTATCACCAACCGTACGTACACAACGAAAGATGAAAACATATGTAAAAAAAAAAAAAATCGAAAAATCGAAAAAAAAAATGTCGGTATCGAATGAGCTGAAAGAAAAAAAAAATTGTCTATACGGTCCCTATTTACAGATTAAGAATAAAAATAAAAAGAACTCTCTATATATTTATATATTATAATAGCACACACACCTTGTTGAAGAAATGAAATGAAATGAAGCTAAGAAAACTGTCCGAAAGTTGCGGGCAGGCCCTGGAAATGTTTGTTGTACAGTATATCTGTGGTAGCCTGCAAAGAGTGTTGTACTAATTGTTGCTGATGCTGATTTTGATGCCATATATTAGTCAACGATGCTTCTTCTGTATAGTTGACCTGTGATTTCGTCGTCGTCTCTGCGGCGGCGTACATAATCTCCTGATCATGATCAGCTCCATTTGTATTATTATTGTTGTTATTGTGGTGATGATTGATTTGCATATTTCCCGCCATTAGAAACGGCGTGTGGAGATATTCCGACCACTTTATATCTTCGTGCCCGATTAGCGACGGTTGTTCCTTCTGGTGGTCGGCGGCTGATTTTGTTGTGCAAGTGTCGGCCGCCGCCCATGAGAAGGCGATATTGGTGTCGAAGAAGCTGCAGTTGGTTTGGAGATTCTCATCTGTGCTGATGTTGTTGTTGTTGTTGTTTTCGAACTTCACGTTGAATGAGTTTACAGAGTTGTTGTTGTTGTTGTTGTTGTTGTTGTTGTTGTTGTTGTTGTTATTGACGAAGTTCGCCGCGGGCGACTGCTTTATTCTACTCGTCGCCGGCGGCGGCATGAAAGCGCCGAAATGGTCGGAGTTTGGATTGTCGAAGAAAATATTCGTGGTGTCGGTGTTCATCGAAAGCCCGATATTCGGTCCGTAACTCATCTGCTGTTGGAAAGAGAGAAAGCCCGACATATCCTTAGAGGTGGTGGCGGTGGAGCTCTCGTGGCTGGCGATGAACCTGTTGAGGAAGAACTCATGGCCGGCGGACGGCGGGTAACAGCGCCTGTCGATGGGTTTTTCTGGGAGTACGAGGTTGTTGGAAATATTGTTGTCGCTGAATTCGCTGGAATTTGCCTCGGATGTTTTCTCGTTATTGCTGTTTGCGGTGACTGACGGCGGCTTGTCATCGTTGACTAAAAGGTCAACGTCGGAGAGGGGTTTGTGTGTGTTAGGGTCAATGCCCTTCTGCCGGAGTTTCTTCTTAATGGATGAATTCCACAGGTTCTTTATTTCATTGTCTGTTCTTCCAGGCAACTGTGCTGCAATCTGCGACCACCTGTTCATCATTATTAATTCATTAATTAATTATTATAATTATAATAATAATTAATGTTTAATTAAATTAAAAAAAAAAAAAAAACCTGTTCCCAAGAACAGCATGCAGCTCAACAATCAAATTCTCCTCATCCTGGGAAAATGTGCCTCTCTTCAAATCAGGCCTCAGGTAGTTAATCCACCTCAGCCTACAGCTCTTTCCACACCTTTGCAGCCCTTCACAATATTAAATTAATTAATTAATTAATGAATAATAATGAATGAATGAATTAATCAAATAAATAAATAAATAAAATACCAGCAAGTTTAGGAACAGAGCTCCAGCAGCCATGGCCGTATTTGGTAATATGCTGAATAAGCTTCTCATCTTCTTCAGGTGACCAAAGCCCTTTTCTCAGCTTCTGCTTGTAACAGCATGAATGCCTGCCCATGTGGATATTATTATTATTATTATTATTATTATTAATGCTGTCAAAATTCGATCTTAATTTGCTAGGCAAAAGCAGCAGCAGCAGCCTAGTACTTGAAACTTGTCAGCAGGAAAGAAAAAAAAAAGAAAAAAAGAAAGATGAGAGAGAAAGAGTAGAGAGAGAAAGAGGAGAGAGAGAGAGAGAGAGAGAGGGGGGGGTTCTTGAAAATGAGATTACAGTAAGGGAATGAAGTTAACAGGGGTGAGCTTTTAAAAGGAGGGTCGTATTCAGGATTAATATTTATTAATCAGTTTATTCTCTTAATCATTATTTTTAGGGTGGAAAAACAATTATTTATTTATTTTCAAATTTTTATTGAACGAATGTGAAAAAAAAAAGAAAAAAAATGACTTGCCAATGTCTTATCGACAAGGGGTTTTAAGAAAAATAATAATGAGATTGACAGCAGTTGTGGGGCATGAAGACAGATATTTATTTGGTGGAAATTTTAATTAATTTATGGGTTCTGGATTAATATTTGATCAGAAAAGTTTATTAGTGTTTAATTTTACCGTAAAATACTACGGCTAGTTAAATTACGAAAAAAAAAATCATTTTTGTTTGGATAATATGACAATTATCTTACTCAAGTATGAAATTTTTTATACGTCTGCTCTTATGGTGTCAAATTCAACATGTTTTTTCTAGATTTCGTGGAATGTTCTCTAATTTGTACTCATTTTGTGTAAAAATGCAGTTTATGGTGCACCACAATCTGATATTTACAAGTCAATAGACCTTATGATTATCCTGTTTCAAAAGGTGCAGTTCGAATGAGGTAAAACGTATAAAAAATCGAATAATATTTCATATAATCTAGAAAATTCCACTATTTTAACACCGCAAAGGTGACTGTAATTTACCCTTATAATATTTTATTTTTTTTGTATTATTATTGTTATTATTATTTAAATGACTGTCATAAGAATTAATATCAATTGGGGTAGAAGCAAAAAAATACCACCTCCCTACAAAAGGATAAAGGATAAATTTTTTTTTTTTTTTTTTTTTTTTTTTTTTTTTTTTTTTTTTTTTTTTTTAAAAAAAATAAAGGATAAAATTATGCCAAGATTCTTAAGGCAGAAACAGGCAGAAGATCTGTAAATGGGAGAAGTTATTAAATAAAAGAATTTCCCATGATTAGTTATGGCTTGCAATCATAGTAATGTGCAATTAATTTATGATAAGAAAAAATAATCATGTAATACTTTGGACATTCTCTTGTCTTTCCTCATGGATTTTCAAATACATTATTATTTTTGTACCCTATTTATTTCTTTAGTAATTAAAACCATTGTGCCAGGTGGCATTTGGAAATTATTGAGTCTTTATTTTTATTTTTATTAACTCTCTAAAAATTTGTTTGGCTAAATTTACTTTAAACAACTACTTCATTTGTTCTATAATAATTAATAACTGTTTTTTCTTTAAATTACATTTCCAACACTGCATTAATTGTGTAATTATCAATTTTACCCTTATTAACTATCTCCAACACTCTCTCACGTTAATTATTGGCAGGGCATTTTAGTATAAGAACATATATTTTTTCTTAAATAAAACAACATTTATTGAGATCCTTAATTCTTGTGTACAAGCTAAAAACGACAATTATAAAGGAACGGAGGGAGTAATAAGTTTTTACATCTGTTAAATTGTTTTAGGAGCTGATAAGTTGCTACGTCTTATTTTTAGAATTAGTATTTTTAAGTGTTTGAATAATGATCTTACAAACTATTTTTACTCATTGTAAAATCTTAAATAAAAAAAATATGGAATATATGTACTTTTTTTTTTAAAAACAGATTGTTCTCCAAGAGTTTTATTTTTGAATATTTAAAATATTATAAAAAAATTACCATACACTTTAAAAGAGCTTATAAGAGCTCTCAAACATTTTATAAACTACTTTTAACAGTGTATAAGATTAACCAAACACCTTCTAAAATCTCACCTCGCCATCTTTCTTATTTTGTCAATCTATATATATAATTTATTTTGATATCATCTTCGTGATTTTATCGCAATAATGTAAAAGTTAAGTAATTTGACAATTTTACTCTATCCTATGATAAATCAATCAACGAAGAATATTTGGTTAGAACACGTAAATTTGTGTCAATTGACTTAAGTTCGAATTCCGATCCCTTACCAACGGTCACTCGATCAAGCTTATTACACATGGTTAACATAGTATGATTTACGTTGCTCGTATTTTTTCGCAACCTATTATACGAGAGTATAAATTTATCCAGTGCACGTACATGGTCGATAAATAACATGAAAATTGCCATTTTATCATCGAATATATAAGTAGAATAATGAAATTTCCATTGAAAATCTCTCGATTCTACCAACTACTCAAATCATTTGATCAATTGGAAGGGAATCAATTGAAATAAAATAAGAGAGAAAACTTGTTCATTATCCATGATTGATCTTAAGACATTGTTTTTTTTAATTGTGGTTCCATTTATATTCCCGAGGAAGAAATGTCTTCCCCTCGGTAATTAAATCTAAATTCAAATGATTGAACTTTCTTTAAAAAAATAAAAAAAAATAACAAAAACGATTAAAATAAATGAAATAAGTGTACTTGTAAAAAAAAACCAGCCGACAGTCACAATAATGTAGTTGTCCGCTCTGCGTTCTGCAATCCATATACGGACAAATTTCGATAAATTATTTAACCACGCAAAACAAAATTAATTTAATTTAATTTAATTAATTAATTAATTGCGTTTTTAATTCCGCTAATACGGAATCTTTCTCCACTAATTAATTACTTCAAAACATAAATAAATAAAAATAAACATATGCAAAAGACGTTGAGTTAAACCATTTTACCAGTTACTACTACTACAACTTTGGAGAAGACCAAGAAAATCAATTAATAATTATTTTTTTAATATTTTTTTTATTGAATTTAATAATGATTTAATTATGAAGTGTGTACTACGTGTTAACTTATTGTGCACATAATCGTTGTGAAGGCATGGCGTTTAGTGTATAGTTATGGTTGTTGCGTGGTGGCGCAATATCATTCTACTAACATTGCATAATTTCGTTTTATCTTAATTAATTATTTATTAGGGTTTATTAGGGATAACCCCCTTGTTCATATTTTCTAATGAGGTAGATCCAATTAATTTTTCCCTTTTTGAGATACACCCAAATTTGCCAACTTGGCAAAATATATTATATAATTTCCCTTTAATACCCATGTTTTATTTTTGAACGGCATTTATTTCCTTAACTACGTGATATGAGATTTGCTGATACGTGATTCTAAAATCACGGAATAAATTTACGTGGGATCATTGGCCGTTCTATCAAATCGTGTACAATTTTTTTTTGAAGATTTATCCAGCGTTCCATCGTTTTAATCGCCTTTGAAGATTTCTTCACCGTCAAGCGGGTATGAATGCGTCTTTTTTCGCTTTTATTTTCGCTGTATGTACAGGATTGTCGTGTACGGTGGTTAGACATTTTTAAGAGTTGTGTTGATACTTGATTCTATTAAGTAGAACGTTTTTTAACAAAATTACGTCGTCATATATACATCGTTATTTTTGGCGGATGATGTTTGTTTGGAAGAGGATTGACAGAGTTAGAAGAGGATGGTTCACGCAAATCGGACCAGAGTTGTTTTATATGAGCTTCGTAGTTGGTTTATGCAATAATCGGAATAATTGTCCGTTGTGGTCGAGTTCATGTTTTTGATCCCGATCGATAGTTGGTTTATTTGTTTATAACAGCCGATTTAAGTATGTTGGGTAGTACATTAAAATATAGTTCGTGGTCTTTTTTAATTTAGCGTATGGATTTTGCATTTTAAGTTTATTTCAGATGATATTAATGTATTGTCATTCAAATGTATTTGCAGTCTACTTAATCATTTTTTAGTATTATGCATTTTTAATTTTGTTTCATGATTATAGGTTTTTTCGATGGCGAATTTCGTACGGATTTTGTTGAGGTTTGGTGGGTTGGTTGCTATAAAGAGGTGTTTACGATGTAATGGCTCGGTAACTTCGGTTAAGTGTTAAACCGTTGTAATACAGTAGTATACTATTATGAATACCGCATGATACTACCATTATCATTTTATTATATTATTATGAGATTATTAATGTACTAGAGTTTTTTAACTCGACATATTGGTTTGATTGTGTTATGATGTGTTTTATGTATTTTATCAAAACCCTAGATTGAAATTATGAGATTATTAATGTACTATTTTATTGGTTATGTTGGAATACTTGACGTTGGTGTTGTTCTCAATGTTCTTGTCATTTCAGTGGTATATTGTTTGTAACACAATTTCATATCACTACTATAACCGTAATATACTATCATAGCAGATTAATGTACTATATTGAAATTATTAATACACTATGTGGTTGAATAATACGGGATCCATAGTCGATTAACGAGATCCATAGTCGAATGAGATCAATAAGATAGTCTATTACACGATATAAGGAAAATTACCCTAATTGATTAGTTAAACAAACATATTATTCAGTTTCCATATATATTATTATTTTTTCATATATATTATTATTTACCCTAATCGTTTTCATATAATAAGGAAAATTACCCTAATTGATTAGTATTTCAAACAAACATATTATTCAGTTTCCATATATATTATTATTTTTCCAATAGTCAATTAAAAAAATGCATAAAGTATTTTTTTATTTCAAATGGTAAAGTAACGGGATTTGTGGGATTTGATTAAGGGTAATTATGTAATTTAGAAAAGTTTGAATTTTTATCAAAATGACAAATTTAAATTTGGATGTACCCCTATTATTTGAATGTTTAAGGGGGTTATATCTAATACACCCTATTTATTAATCCAAGTTTTAAGTTCCCTTGAGGGGGTAATATCCAACAATGATTTATGTTAATATTTGAACTAATTTATTTATTCTAATAGAGTCGTCGATGCACTTGATTCACATTGGTATTTTTTTTTATTTCTTTTGGAAAATTAGGATGACCCCCTTTCATT